ACCCGTCTAAAAAAAAAAAAAAAAAAAAAAAAAAAAAAAGCGAAACACAAATATGAGTGACAATGTCGAGGAGAAAAACAAAATTACACATTTCTAAGTGACCCCACAGACAACTGAAGAATTCCAGAAGAACAGAGAGTTAAGGGATAGCACATGCCAAAGAAACGACAGAGAGGCTTCTCACAATTGAAGGATGTCTCTTAATTAAAAGGAACCATCAATTCACTACCTAAACATAAGTAAAGTCCCATACCTAAAGATGTTTATGAAGTTGAGAACACAAATCCCAAACAGGCCATACACTAAGACCTCAGGAATCATTAAGCAAATAACTTCCATAGATGGATCACTGGAAGGAACGACAATGTAACTGCCTGAGACTCCAACTCTATCAAAGTCTATCAAGTATAAAGAAGTATTTCCACCAGGAGCTTTGTGGTTTACTTATTCTGTAAGCTTTATGAGAAAACTACTCCAATATGTACTTCACCAAAATGAAGATGTAAAAAAAGAGGAACATAGGCTAAGAAAAAGAGCTCAGCACTAGAAACTAAAGCAAGTCCTGAGATGACAATGGTACACCATTCTGAAAGGGCAAACAGCCAGTAGAGTGATATTTCAACTTAAAACAAATGTGCTTGAAACTGAACATTCTATAAAAAGATGAACATGTATCATAGCAACAGAGTGCTTGCTTAAAGGAGCAAACAGAGCACAGAAAATCAACAAGCACTGAGGATGTAGCTCAGAGCCAAAAAGACTCCCGAGGACACACAAGGCCCTAGACTCAATCCTTAGCATTGCCAAAAAAACCCAAATAAGACAATATTGTCCTAGTTAGTTTTAACTGTCAACTTGACACAGCCTAGAGTCACTTGAGAAGGGAGTCTCATTTCAGGGATTGCCCACATAAGACTGGTCTGTGGGCATGTCTATGGGGAGCTATCTGATATGACTTGTGGGCAGCACCATTTCCTGGGCAGGGAGTCCTGGGATGTGTAAGAAAGCTAACTAGCAGCTGGGTACGGTGCTGCATGCCTTTAATCGCAGCTGTGAGATCAAGGTCAGTCTGGTCTATGTGGCAAGTTCCAGGTCAGTTCCAGTTCCAAGTTGGGGCTACAGGGAGACCCTGTCTCAAAATGACCCCCCCGCAAAAAAAAAGAGAAAGGCTAGCTAGCTAAGCATAGATGAAGTGAGACAACAGGCAGCATTCCTCGATAGTTTCTGCTTCAACTTCCTGCGCTGTCCTCCCAGCTCAATGATGGACTATCACCTACCTATAAGTTGATTATTAACCCATTCCTCCCTTAAATTGCTTTTGGTCATGGTATCTGTTACAGCTGACCCTCCTAAAACAAAGTCCTCTAGATAGGCTGACTAGATTCACCAGAAGGGCAAGTAGTGGGGAATGGCTGGGGGTGCCGACAACACAGAAGACAGTAGCAAGGATATCAAGAGTATAAGGGCTCTAGTGGGGGGGAGGGAGGCTATGGGAGGGTGCTATCTGGGAAGTGGGTGTAAAAAAATATATATAATAATAATAATAATTCTTCAAAGCATAAAAAAATATGTCATAATATGGTAATTGGCTGAGCACTGAATAGTTATAAAAAATGATGAAAGAATATTGTTATTACATTCAGATAAGGTGTATATATCATTAATTACCTCAAGAAAAATACAACAAAATTAAGAAACTGAAATCAAGAATTAGCAGTACAAGTATGTATGTGGTTGGCTAAATAACAGTCCTGTGGAATACCTCAGCTCTGAGCAAAAGAAAGTGTCCAAAGGTCTGACCTACAGGAATCCGTGATTTTTAAATGTCTTCGAGTTATTAAAAACTGTATAAAGAACTTTTGTAATTGAGAATAATCGAGTAATAAAGGTGCTTTGAGGGGTATTAATACATAGTTGTGATCTTACTCCACTGAGCATTATCCCAAACTAACTTCAGAGCTCCAGAATTACAAAAGAATATATTTGCATTACTTAAGCTACTATTCAGTTTATAGTAACTTATTAAGGCAGCAATAGAAATAGTATTACTTAACTAAACTCCAAGCCCAGGCAGGCAAGACTGCACAGCCTGTTATCCTAACACCCAGAGACTGGGACTAGAGGATCTAAGACAAGCAGAGAAGAGCTTGTGCAACTTAGCAAGACCCTGCTCAGAAAACAAAATAAAACAAAACAAAAAAAAACTCACCTTACTCTTTGGTGCTTAATGTTTTTCCACACAAAATGCATTAACTTCTAATGAATTTTATAACTTTTTTTTATTATAAACATTAATCCTGCAATGAATGTTATATATTTGAAGATTACCTATTTTGTTCACTGTTTCATAAAGTCTGTTACAAAGGTACACTATGTGTGAACAAGCATTCAGTGGGATTACAAAAGCATGTAAAAACAATTAAGTAAAGAAGACCCAGGTTCGAATCCCAGCACCCACATGGCAGCTAACAACTGTCCGTAACTCCAGTTCTAGGGGATCCAACGACCTCTTCCGTCCTCCGCAGGCATTGCACGACACAGGTGCACTTACCTACATGCAAGCAATACACTCATACAGATGATTCTGATAATTTTAAAAAATTCTTAAAGAAAAACTAGATAGTGACTAGTCACGTTAGATGTACAGCTATGGGGCTTCAGAGATGGCTCAGCAGTGAAGTGCACTTGCTGCTCTTGCAGAGGACCTGGGTTCGATTCCCAAAACCTACATGGCAGCTAACAACCATCCCTAACTCTAGTTCTGGATCTGAAAGCCTCTGCAGGGACAGCATGCACATGGTGCACTTTTCTGGTAGACCATTATATCTATCTATAAACTCAGAAAACAATCAAAACAAAGCATTGCCTTCCCTTCTGAAGGAAGTTACTGATATTTCAGAAAGTCTACAAGTTTAAAGATAAAAGAAAAAATTGGGGGGCTGGAGAGATGGCTCAGCAGTTAAGAACATTGGTTATTCTTGCAGAAGACCTGAGTTCAAATCCCAGCACCCATAGGGCAGCTAACAACTGTCCATAACTCCAGTCCCAGAGAATCCGACAGCCTCTTCTGACCTTTGTGGGCACTGCACAACACAGGTGCACTTACCTACATGCAGGCAATACACACATACACATAAAATAAAAATAAAAATAAATTTCAGCAATTATCAAGGTATAAGACAAAGGTCTTATATGATCTTCAATCAGAACAAAGAACAGGATTTCATGTTAAAGGACTCACCAGTCACAGGAGTTGTAACTCCAACAAGAGGACTCTGCATTACTGAAATGTTTGTCTACATGAAAAAAAGAAAACAATATTAAGGTAAAAATGAAAAGTTAAAAACATACATAAAGACAGTAATTTTAAACAGCACCTTTCAATAGTTAACTGAATTACTATCATGTCTCTAATCAGCTCAGAGCCCCAAATGTACTCACTTTTGTCTTTCGCCCAGTATTAACCCAAAATATAGCCAAATTTTAGATTTCCTTTAGATCCTTTAATATATTTTTTTAAATAAGAAAAGTTAGGGGGCTGCAAAGATGGCACAGAGGTTAAGAACTCTTGCTATTCTTCCAGGGGACCCGGTTTCAATTCCGAGCACCCACAAGGCGGTGAACAATCATCCATAACTCCAGTTTCAGACGACTCCAACAGCCTCTTCTAGCCTCTCCAAGCACTGCATGACATGGGTGCACTTACAAACATGTAGGCAAAACACTCATACACATAAAATAAGAATAATAAATAAAATATTTTAAAATAAGTAAAGTCAGGCTGATAAGATGACTCAACAGGTAAGAACACTTGCTGCTAAGCTTGACAAGCCAAGTTCTATCTGTGGAACGCTTCATGGTAGAAGGAGAGAACCACTCCACCAAGTTGTGCTCTGACCTTCACAATGTACCATGGCTCCCATGTGTGTCCAGACATATAGAAACAAACACACACAAACACACACACACACACACACATGCAATTCTTTAAAAATATGGAACACTTCACGATTTTGCGTGTCATCCTTGCACAGGGACCATGCTAGTCTACTCTCTATCGTTCCAATTTTAGTGTATGTGCTGCCAAAGCACGTACACTAAAATGCATTTTTTTAAAAAAGAAAAGTTAAAATTGGATAAAGAAAATCTTTTTATAGGAGTTAACAGTAGTATGTTAGGTATTTGGTTTTAGTTCCTAAAGTGTAATAGTCAAAATAATGGACATAATGGTGAATCACCAAATTTACAGAAAAACAGAAAAATAGCACAAACTAATCAGTCTACTCAACAAAAGTGAGCTTATGTTGGGGTCTGAGAGACGGCTCAGCAGTTAGGAGTGTACTGCTCTTGTAGAGGACCCACAGTCCATTCCCAGCCATCTGCATGGCAGTTTGCCAGAACTAGTAACTCCAGTTTCAGGGGATCTGACACAATCTGGCCTCTTTGGGCTCCTAAATGCAGGATGTGCACAAAAACTCATGCAGATACACATAAATAAAAAAGAACTTTTTTAAAAAAATCAATTTTTTAAGATAGTTTATGTTTACCACTACCAGTAAAAAATTAGAAAAGTAGAAAATTATCATGTAGTCCCTTTAAATATGAGAAAATTTAAAGGGAGTTTAAAATCATCCTGCAAACAAAGCAAAACAACAAAAAGCCCAAAGCTGGGCATGGTAGTACCCCAATCCTTCAGGTGGAATCCCAGTATTTATTATAATCAGCAGGATCAGGAGTTCAAGGTCATCCTGGGCTACATGGGACCCTATCTCAAAAAAAAAAATAAAAATAAAAAAATAATTAAAATATAAATGGTGACGAGAGACTCAGATTACAAGTAAGTTATATAAATTACCTTTCTTTTTGTGCAAAGAATAATGGAAACTATCATGAATTCAGAAACCAAAAGTTCCCACACCAAACTAAACTGAACTAACTTCAGAACCATCCCTAATCAGGATATTCTGGATTTAGTTAATCAAGAACATCACTGTCCATTAAGACTCTAGTACATGCAAGCCAGTCCTGGTGTCACACACCTATAATCCTACCAACTGGGAGGCTGAGGCAGGGGGGGTCAAGTATAAGCAGGCAAAAATAATTTAGTATGGTTTAGCCTAATACACCCAAAATACTATCATTTTAATGTGTGATCAATATGGGAAACTGACAAGACCATCTATCTTCTTCTAGTCTTCAGATTCCAATGTATATTTTAAACCTAAAGTATATCTCAAACAGAACTAGATACATTACAAGTGTCAACTGCCACACATTGGCAAATGCTGACAGGACTAAGTCAAGGTGATGGAAAGAGAAAATGAGCATAACACAGCAGTGAGCTTGGCTTTACTTGACAAACAGACTAGAAACCTGAATATAAGGGCTGGAGAGGCAGCTCAGCAGTTAAGAGCACTGGCCGCTCTTGCAGAGGACCCAGCTTTAATCCCCAGCACCCAAATGGCAACTAACAACCATCTGTAACTCGAGTTCCACAGGATCCAATGCCCTCTTCTGGCTTCAGTGGGCTTTCCTCGACACAGGTGCACTTACATACACGCAGGCAAAACACACACACACACACACACACACACACACACACACATAAAATAAAAATACATCAAAAAATGTTTTAAAATTTTTCTAAATAAATGTGTTACTACAAAGAACTTATCTATTTAAATGATATAGCTTATCTGTTCAAGGACAAGAGTGATAAGAACCCTTATGACTGAAAACCTCCTACTTAACAGAAAAATTGGCGCTACCTTTCAAACGGACAATTAAGTCACTATAGTATGAGCAGAGTGACTGCTATAAACACTGGCTCTAGAGTCAAGACAGGCTGGGCTTGAAGTCTGGTTCTCCTATAATCTAGCTGTCTTAACCTTGACAAATTATTTAATCATTCTGTGGCCTACTTTCATAAATGATGAAGTTCATCACAGACTCACTGTTAGGACTAACACAGGTCATAAGAGCAAGGCAAAAAAAGTCCTTTCCAATCAAGACACTTTCTTGCTGTTGTTATTCCTAATAAAACAGAATCTCTACTTTGACTACCTATATCAACCCAAACTTAGCACTACCATGAATGCACCTACACCAAGAGCATACTAAATTAATAGTTCATATATTTGCAGGAGGCAGTTTTTAGTAAACTAAGCACTGAATACATCTATGAAAGAATACTGGTCTTACATTAATAAAAAATTTATAAAACAAAGTTCTTAAATCATTACTAAATGTTCACCCTCCAGATAAAACCTTGAATTTTCATTTTCCACCCACAAATTAATGTACAAATATTAAACTAAAGTGATCAAAATTACTTTATACTCTGCATGTACAGTAACTAGGTTGGGAACATGGGCAGGTGAACAAACGTACCTATAAAATCCACAGAACTTACACAAGTTCTAGAAAGCAATCTAGAGTCTACTACCATCTCCTTTTTTGGCTGAAACAGGACTTTGCTACATTGCCCACGTCAGTTTCAAACTCTTGATCTTCCTGCCTTAGCCTCCCAGATGCTAGGACTATAGGCATAGGCCACCATGCCCAGGTTAGAGTTCTATTACATTTTAAATACATTTCATGATAAACCTAAGTTGAGTCTATATGTACTTAATACTTAATCTATACAGTTATTCCAGAATATACCACACAGAAATTTCTAATTACTGATCTTCATGGTGTAACCACATAAAAACACAAAATGATTAATTATGGCCCATGGGACTGTGTTTCACCTGTCTTCTTGAAGTTAAAGGTGTTGATCCAAGTCCTGGGCTGGAAATGTCATCATATATACTCCTAACAGGTGGAGCTCCACTTTTATCTTTATGAGCAGGTACAACAGGTTGAGGTGGTGACCCACCTGAAATACACAAAAAAAATAGGTTAGAAAGCAAAGTAATCTTTCTTCTAAGATATGCTCAATGTGTATTTTTAAAATAATTACAAAACTCTGGTTTCCTTTCACATATATTTAAACAATGGTGTATATGTTACCTAGGAATCTTGTTTTAAATCAGACTCTGAGCTAGCTAGGCATGGTGATGCACAGCTTTAATCCCAAAACTCAAGGTAGAGAGGCAGGCAGATCTTTGTGAGACTGAGGCCAGCCTGGTCTATATAAAGAGTTACAGGCCAAATGAGGCTACAGGGAGACTCTGCCTCAAAAAAATTTTTTAAAAATTAATAAATCAGTCAGACTCTGGTTCAGAAGGTGAGATGGAACCTGCAACTGTGCATTTCTAATAAGCTGCAGGTAATGCCACAACGTTGGCACTTTGAGTTAAGGGCTACAGAATAAATTACTATTGGAAATTTTAGTTTTTAGAAAGCTCATGGAACTTCTGCTTCTCTATTAAATGTTTACACATTTCAAATATGTTATGTGGCCTAGAGACAGGCATGCCAGTGCCTTCCTTTGATCCTTATTACTCAGGAAGCTGAGATGGGAGGAGCCTCACAGAGGTCAAGAGGAGCAGGAATATACCAATTCCCTGACTCCACACAAACAAAGCAGTTGAGGCAGAACACACCTTTAATCCCAGCACTGGAAAGGCAGGAGCAGGCAGATCTCTGTGAGTTAAGAGATCAGCCTATCTATATACTGAGCTGTAGGCCAGCCAGGGCTACATAGTGAGGCTCTATCTCAAATTAATAAAATCTCATTTCTCTCTTGAAAATAGATATTAAACAACTCTAATCTGAGTATACTTGAATAATTATGATCCCCTCAGTATGGAATTTGACTGTCAAAATTAAACTGATCCCCACCCATTATGTTTCTCACAGTAGAAAATTTTTAATAAAGAGACGAAGAAACAGGACCATCTTTTGTGACATAAGCAATGTTAGACAATGAAGCAGCCCAGGCCTCTGTCAAGACTCATAGGAAAACTGCTCAGCATAGGCTACTGAATGACGCTGACCCTGGGGTCAGGGCCATGCTGTCACTATTGAATGAACTTCATCCAATTACTTATTATTTAGCTTCAGATTCCTCTTTTGAAAGTGGGCACACTTCTTTTTGAAAATGGGGCTATTATTACCTAACTGTTAAAAAAGATTTTTTTTTTTTTTAAGTTCTTATTCAAGAGCCTGGAAAAAAGGCAGAGCTTCATTTTTTGTGAGGCTTTGTGGGTTTTTTTTTCCTGTTTTTATGTTTTTGTTTTCAAGACAGGGTCTCATGTAGCCTAAGCTGATCTCAAAATCTCTAAGCAGAACAAGATAGCCTGGTGCATCTGATCCTCCTGCCTCTACCTTCCAAGTGCTGGGATAAGAGATCTGACCACCACACCTGGGTATTTATGGGTTTTTGAGAGGGTCTTGCCCTGCAGCCAAAGCTTTCTTGAAACTCCATATGCAGCCCAGGCTGGCACAGTCCTCCTGCCTCTGCTTCTGATGCTGGGATTACAGGTATTCACCCCTATGCCCAGCTAAGGCATACTTTTATAGTAAAAGTCTTATTTTTTAAAATGTTAGTGAGGATGCTCATTGCACTCTTCTGAAATTGTAGTATGTATACTAATGAACTATAAAACTATTTACTCACCTGCAAGTAAGGGTGATCTCATTTCCATGACTCCCACTGAAGGGCCATTAACTGATCGAGGCTGTGGTGTCACTGGAGCTGGTAAATCCCCCATTAAAAATCCAGGTAAAAATTGGGCATTAACGCCTGGCTTTGGAGACGTGGGTGAACCCAGCATCATTGGTTCAGATCCTAAATTAATCAAAAAATGAAATAAAGTCATTTCCATTATAATGCCTAACAAAATGATACAGCAACCTATAATAAAAGTTGGGGAAATTTAACCAAAAAATTACAAGTTTAAATATTATAGAACCATACAGAACTATATTATAGAACAATAGTTTTAATTTATTCTAAAAGGTAGTAAACATGTTTCAAAAATGTAACATGATCTTGCATTCACAACAGTAATCTTCTGTTCCTTTCTGTCCAACTAGGGATCAAAACCTAGGGCTTTGCCCGTGCTGAACAAGTGCCCAACCACTAAGCTACAGTCCCACAATATTAATTTTTTGTTTCTGGTTACATTATTTCAGTGATGTAAAAATACAAAATTTACCTCTAAATTTGAAAAACAGCTTATTGTTTTTAAAAAAAAATTCTAATATAAGCAGAAAAAACATTCTTTCCATTTTGGGTTCAGTTTCTAATGAGCAACAATTAAGAAGAATATGCCAATTTTTACACAAAGTCTTGACATTTTAAATCAGAAACAGACTCATTTTGCTACTGGTCCCATTTCTTCTTCCCTATACACAAAACAACAAATTATTTCTGGGATTAAAATTAACCATGTTTACACTATGACGTTAATGCAGAAAAACTGGCCTTCTAACTCAGGGATACATTAAAGGGAGTTGTAAAACTTATTCTCAGATCATTTTTTTTCCCCTTTATGAGGCCCTCTTGTAACCCCAGCTGGCCTGGGACTCACTAAGTAGACCAGGCAGGTCTCAATCTCACAGAAATCTGCCTCCTGCCTCCCAAGAGCTGGGATTAAAGGCGTGTGTCACCAAACCGGAAAGAATTTACTTTACCCAAAACATGGCACATATTACATGCCATGTGAATCTACAAAATTCTACACAATATATTCATTGCTCTTTTCCAAACTCAGAAAGCTATAAATTAATATTAAGAAAAATATACACCAACACTACACACATTTTAGTTTTTATTTTGTTTTAAAATGATACATGGTTGTCACCATTCACAAAACTCAGCAGAAAAAAAAGAGGGGATCAACATATTTGCTAGATTTTTGTTGAAAGAGGTATTTCCAAAACCTTCCCCAATAATGGGAATGACTCTTTTAGAAAAGGCGGCGGAGGGTCGGGGGGGACGAACCCCAGCAAACTCTCTAAGGCTGCACTCAATGGTTAGCACTGCCTGGCTTATTCTAGGTCACACAATTCGTACTTTCATAAAGTCCCTTTTTGCCAGAAGTCATCAAACAAGACCCTGAAGCCTCCGCGACGAGTAGCACCTGCGCGGCACCACCCACCCATATGCCGGGCGAGGACGCTTCTGGGTCCAGGGCCCAGATGACCCACCACTCGGCTCTGCCGGGCCCGAGGACTGGCGGATACCAATGTCCGCGCGGCCGCAGGACGAGACCGCACGGCCTGGGACGCACCCCGGAGGTCACCGCGCCGTAACCGTTCCCGCTCCGGACCTGCACGTGCAGCGCCGTCTCCAGAGGAGCTGGCTGGGAACTTGTGGGGGACCCAGAGAAGTCCCTCCGCACCTGAAGCCAACAACCGGCTCCTGCGAGCTATGGGCCCCAGCCCGGGCCCTTCCAGGCCCAGAGCGCGGGACCGTGCCACCGAGGGCCGAGCACTCACCCAGCGTGGGCACCTGCGGCTCCACGGCAAACGCTGCCATCGCCACCGCCGCCCGCTCCTCTGCACTGAGCGGCCCAATTTTCAAAAATGGCGGAAACTCTCTCCACCGGTAGGGCCTCGGTACTTTGTGGGGTTGCGTAACTTCCGAGCATGCTCCATGTTCAGGGAGAGGGCGCTGGAGCCATTTTGGGAAAGGGCAAAGGTAAGTCCTGGGCGTCTCAGAAAAAGATTTCTCTAGGAAAGCTGTGCAGGGGGATATGGGACCTGTGGTTCTGGGAATGGATTTGGTCTCGTTGCAACCTCCTGCTGCTTCCGCTTCGTACAAACACAGATTCCTTTGCTTACTTGTTAATTAACGTGAGTTTCCCCAATGTTCTATCACCTGTAGGCTTTTCTAACACTTGGAAAAGTAGGCTTAATGAAACCGTTTGTACTTCTCAGTAACTTGATTTCTGCACTTAATGCAGGACTTAAAATGTATCTTCTACCATCTATATGCCATTTAACTTTTTATTTTACGTGCATGAGTGTTTTGCCTGTACCTGTGTAAGTGTTGTGTTCAATGCCCTAGGAGGCCAGAAGAGGGCGTTAGAGCCCCTGGACCTGGAGTTACAGATGCTTGTTAGCCATCAAGTAGATCCTGGGAACCCAGCCTGGATCCTTTGTAAGAGTAGCCAATGTTCTTAATCACTGAGCTATCTCTCTAGCCCCTATATGCCTTGCCATTTCTTCTAAAGTTTGTTTTATGTAGGCACTATTTTACATTAAAACACAAACCGTATGCTGTTTATTGCTTGCATGTAAATTGTTTGCAAATATAGCTAACAAACGTATGTGTAAATAATGAGTTTTTTTTTTTTTTTTTTTGGAGAAAGAGTCTCCCTGTAGCCCCTCGTGTGATAGAGGTCAGACCAGGCTGACCAGGCTGACCTCTATCACACAAAGATTACCTTGCCTTTGACACCCCAGTACTGAGATTAAAGGCATGTGCCACCACACCCAGACCATAATTTTTTTTATAAAAACAGCAAAGCCACCTTATGCCATCCTGACCGTGCCATCCATGCCCTTCTAACTTCTTTACTTTGCTGCTTTTCTTTAGGGCATAGTCATGTATTGATCACACACTCACACACCTAGAATGTGTGAATATATTTGATAGCCAAGTGTGATGGTGTATCCCTTTAGTCCCAGCTCTCAGGAGGCAGAGGCAGATGGATCTCTGTGAGTTCAAGGCCAGCCTGGTCTGGTCTACGTACCGAGTCCCAGGCCGACATAGTGAAACCCTGTTTTAAGTAATTAATTATTTAATTTAATTTCACTAAATTAATGTAAATCCTATAAAAATAATGTGCTTTATGTCCTATATTCTCGAATGCTCTCTGATTCTTCACTAACCTCTAGAAAATGCTGACCTAACCTTGACTGTTTCCTTTGAGACTATAAAATCTCAAATACAGCAAGAATTTTGTCACTGGAGTAAAGCAATAGCAATTCCAATATTAAATAACAGTTTCCTAGAATTCAAATTTTTAAACCACCTCAGGTTCAATTTACTCTTTAAAAAAAAAAAGTAAATGACAGGACTAGAGGAACTGACTCAGCAGTTAAGAGCATGGGCTGCTCTAGCAGAGGACCCAGGTTCAGTTCCCAGCACCTACATGGGGGCTAACAACCATCTGTAACTCCCTTTCCAAAGGATCTGCCCCCCGAAGGGCATTGTACAACATGGGTAAACTTAGATGCCTGCAGGCAATACAGTTGTACACATAAAATGAAACTAATAAAATACTTTTTTTTAATGAATGAGTTTCGGGTAGTGGTGGTGTGGATCTCTGTAAGTTCAAGGCCAGCCTGGTCTACATAGTGAGTTCCAGGCCAGCTGAGCTACGGGGAGCCACAGGGAGACCGTGTCTCAAAAAGACCAAAAAAAAAAAAAAAAAGAATGAGTTGAATTGCATCCACTGAAAAGTTGGTAAGTTAGAAGACTCAAATGTGTTTATCTTCAGAATTGCCTCAAATGGTGTACACCATGGATTTTCAGTGCTTTCCTAGCCACCAGGAGAGTCTTTAGTAACTAGATTTTCTTGGAGAGCCTGCTCCAGATACCACAAAGCCCATTAAAGAAATTTATCCTTTCAATTCTGTTTCTCTAGAACCATTCCTGTATTAATCAGCATTCTCTAAAGAAAGAGAACTGATAAAATTTATTAGATTAACTTACAGGATAGAGTCTGAGTAATCCAACAATGGCTGCACCAACCTGGAGAGACTGAGAATCCAGTGGTTGCCCAATCCTCGAGGCTGGATATCTAGGGAGTCCCAATCTGTGCTGAAGGCCTGATGGGTTCCAGGAGATCTGCTAGTCTTCAGTCTATGTTGGAATCCAAGGAGTTGGTGACAGCAGAGAGACAAGCTCACCAGTGAGAGAGAAGGCAAGGGGCAAAAATATTCCCTTCTGGCTTTCATACAGGCTGCCATCAGGAGGTAACAGCCACATTTAGGGTGGGACTTCCAGCCTCAGATGATCCAATCAAGAAGGTCTCCCTCATTTCAGTTAATCCCATATCCAGTCAAATTGACACCCAGGATTAGCCATCACACTGCATTTAGGACTCACTCTCAATCCAAGTAATCAAATTGAGGTAATTGAGTCAACGATCAATTCTCCAAAATGCTTTTTACCACACAAGGTAACATTCACAAGTTCCAGAGTTTATAGCCCACATTACTTTTTAGAATAAATTACCAAGAAAGATTCCTCAGTAGAGGAATTTCTATACAAATTATTATATAGCCAAACAAAAGAAAATGATGTATTTGTTAGAAAGAGTAAGACAGGAGGAGATGACCGGTGAACAGACATGAGAGACAAAGTGCCCATTCTGGAACGTGGCAGTCTGTGACTTTAGAGGAAGACACTGGAGGCTGGAGGAGAGAAGGAGGCACTACTGCCACCTGCCCCTGCACCCCCATCCTGCCCCCACTTCCTTTCACATCCCCACCACTCCTGAACCTGTTCCTGACTTACCAGAATATTTTTTTAAACAAAACTAAGTATGGAAAAAATAAAAAAGAGTAAGACAGAACTGGGGAAATGGTTCAGTTGATAAAGTGCTTGCCTTGAAAGCAAGATGATCTGAGTTCCTTATGTTCAGTCCCTAGAGTCCACATCAAAATATCCAGACATTGTAGCATGCACTTGTATTCCCAGCACTTGGGAGATGGTGCATGTTGGATACCTGAACACCACTGACAAACCACCCTAGCCTGCTTGTCAAACTCCAGGCCAGTGAGAGACCCTGTCTCAAAAAATAAAAAGGTGGCTAGCACCTGAGGAACATCACCCAAGGTTGTCCTTTGCCCTGCATGCACACTTGCATATGCAGGTGCCCCCCCATACACAATTATAAAAGGAGGGCCAACAAGATGGTTCAGTGGGCAAAAGTGCAAGTCTGATGACCTGAGTTCAATCCTGAAAACAATGAAAAGCGTAAACCCCCTCCTAAAATTTGCCTTCTGACCTCCACATGCACAGCATGGCTACATGTACACACACACACACACACACACTAACAATAATATAATAATAATAATTAATAATAATAATAATAAAATTTAAGAAATAAAAAAGATGCTTTTGGTGTGTATTAACCTTGAAACACCTATATGATCTAAATTTTTAAAAAGTGATGTGAATGTGGTGAGTAGGGAGAAGAGAGAGGCTTAAATAAGGGAAAAAGCCGGGAAAGATTTACACTGTTTGACAGAAAAAGTAGGAAAGGGGATTGTAAATGGAATAATTTAAGAAGAGCTTGTAGCTTATTATATATAATTTTGTGGTTGATTACAGATGTTATTTACTATTTTTATTATGTTTAATTTTTTTCAGTCTAGAAAGTTATTTTCTTTCTATATGCATTTCAATCTTTGCCCTTTTTTTTTTTTTTTGGTATTTTGTTGATTGTTTTTTGACAGGGTCTCCCTAGTCACAGCCCACCTAGAAGTCACAATGTGAACCAGGGTGGCTTCAGTCTCGCAGATACCCACCAGCATTTGCCTCCTGAGAGCTGGGATTAAAAGCTCACACCACCACACCCAGCATTCAATCTTTGCCCTTTTGACTGGCTCTTTCCTTATCAAGCTGTGAAGATGCCCAGTGTGCCCTCTCTTAAAAGCATCTCTAGACTCTGCTCCTTCTAGGTACTACAGCCTCATTTGTCCCTCACTTCTCCCCTCCCCCAGCCCAGTATCTCAAGAGAAGAGTCTATAGAGATTAACAGATGTTCTCGCTCCGCACCTTCCACTGTGTTTTGCTCTTTTGTGTGATGCTTCACTTTCTGGTTCTCCTAATTTTCTACCCCTTATCTTGTTTGGTAGCTGATCCTATCTGTTTCTGCCCTTGAAGTAGTATTGTTGGTTAAGCCTTTTTCCTCTCCTTCAAGCTCATAGTCATATCTCTTGAAGTCCTTAGCAGTTGTCAAATTGTGTAAATAATTCCCAATGCATGTATGTCCAATCTCTCTGCAAAGCCAAGTGTCCCTTTTCCACACACTTGCTATCAGTACATCAGATCTTAAAATAAACTTATCTTACCCTGAAATCAGCCCCTGTATTAGTTACTTTTCTGCTGCTGTTGTAGAAACATCATGATCAAGGGAACTTATAAAAGGAAGAGTTTATTTAGCTTACAGTTCCAAAGGGGCAAGAGCTCATCATGGCAGGGAGGTATGACAGCTGAGATGGCTGGAGTAGGAACAGAAGCTAAGCTCTCACATCTTCAAGCAGGCAGAGGAAGCAGAGATCAACTGGAGATCCAGCAAGGCTTAAGAACTCTCTAACCCAAACCCCCACACCCCCAGTGACATGCTTCCTCCAGCATGGCCACACCTTCTAAGACTTCCCATAATATCAGCACCAACTGGGGACAAAGTGCTCAAATACTTAGAGCCTATGGGGGATATTCTCATTCAAACCATCACAGCCCCATTCCAGGCATTACTTTTTTGTGGTGGCGTCTCAGAAACACAAAGTTTTAAAAAAATTTTTCAATTTTATGTGTATCAGTGTATTACCTGCATGTACATAAGTGCACCCATGTCCTACATTGCCCA